AACAGTGGCCCGCACACGCTGCAGCCAAAGCACCCGGTATGGCGCATAAGTATCCATCTCATGGCGTGGTGCATTTCGAGCTGGACGACGTGAAGCAAGTGCACGAAAGCTCAGGTTACACAGGCCTCGTGGCACGGAAGCTTATGTAAACGGAGCTTCTTTACAGGTCATGGTCTGATGCACAAAGGTCAAAACGGTGAAGCACCATGCTGCTAGGCCACTCCGCCCACTAACTTTCACCGCCTCTCGCACGGAGTCGCTAATGTGCCGTGCCAAGCGCACTGCAGCTGCGCTGTCTTGAATACCAGTCACATACAAATCCTGGGTGTTTTTTGAGGTCTAGAGTTCCTTCAAAATGCTTCGGCCCTGCTGATATGCATAAATCCAGGGTACAATCTCAACTTGGTGATGTGTTGGCCGTCGGAAATTCTGCATCAGAAAAGTCCACCTGAAGCAACAAAAATAGTTGATTCAAAGGTTGTCCTCATTCAAGCTTGATGAGGGCAAATGATACTCTTTATCAAAGGTCATGCGCCCAGGCACAAACACAAGGTATCATCCAGCTTCACATCGCTAACAAGGATTGCGCGTGCCTTACTGTAAGTTCAGGACTTGCGTGTCCGATGGCTCCCGCTCAATAAGGGCTCAACAGCTTTCCAAAAACATCCAAAAACCTTGTATAGGGCAACACTGTAGGCTCCTGGACATCGGATCACGTTTGCCTCCTATCATTTCACATCCAGTTGTAGCGTCTGCCATATTTGTATATATATATATACTATATAGTATATAATCCTGTGTCTCTCAAATGTGTGCGCATCAGTGTCTCAGTCTACGTATTTGAACATCAGCTGTTCTGTTCTGCTAGGAGGGACGAATACGATCCTGAAAAACGCTTCCAACAGGTACCCTCCCACCAAAACAGTGTGTCAGCGCTAAAACAAGTCTAATGAAATCTGACCTTGTTATTTCAGCATCGTTTACGTAGGGGCCCTGGAACTCATTTTGCATCCGTGCCATTCAGCGGAGTCTTTCCTTCTCAGCCCACATGCTCTTCACTGGGGTGTGCCGCTCTTGTGTTATTGGGTCTTGTTGTGTGAGTTGTTTCTATGCTCAGGCCAAATCACAAAAGGTGAACATTGTGGGCAAAGATTGCTTCAGTGCTTTAGGTGAGGCAAAGCAACAACCAAAGCCACACAGCGGCTTCGAAAACCACGGTGGGACGAATGCGACTGTGACTGATGCCAGAAATGCTCAAAGAGCTGCTTTCTCAAGCGAGAAGAAATTTGTCAGATCTGACAGCCGCAAAGGTGCGCCGGCTGTCGCCATGGCGCTCGCATTAAAGAGAAGGTTCCATCAATGGAAAATGTTCGAAAAGAATGACACACGAATGTTCAGGGCTAACTTTTTGTCTGAAAATGCTCCACCGATACTTCGTCTCCATGGGCCATGCTGTAAGAAAAAGGAACCTGCATCCTTCAGCATGATCATGTTGCTCGAGCCGAAGGGCTTGAAAGTGCCCAAATTGAAGGTGCAGTCACATGCTGTAGGTATTCATTTGAAGACACCCAATCCCCCGCAAAAAGGAAAAGGTTGCTCTGTGCATAGTGCAATTTCATTCTCACCATTAGAAGCCAAGTCCTGTCTCCTGACAGCAAATCTGGCGAGCCGTCAAATTCAACCTGATATGGCAAACAGCAGTGCTACATAGTGCTACGTACTGTACAGCACATCCATGCGCCTCCACCAATGATGCGTTGAGTGTGTGGACTGCGATGACGCTGACCTTTTCTGTGTAGCTCATTCAAACACTTGTGCCGATGCGTTTGGAGACTTGAAAGCTTCGAACAAAATGTCAAACTGGACTTCGCATGAAAACTTTAGCATGCAATGCGCTGATGATTAAGACGCCAGCGCCAGCCCTATTTTTCTGCAATACCTACCAATCGCCTTTCAAACAACCTCCTGGACCACTTTTCAAAAGTGCATGTTTGGATTTTAGAACGCCTGACCTGGACACGGAGCCCCCCCAATCAATTTTGCTCATCTGCCTGTCTCCTGACTTTAATTCTTCACTCCCTTCTTTTCGCTTCACCGCTCCTTCATCCCATGGTCATTGCCAATTCCCTTTCCCTAGCTTCTCCAACCACAATTTGCCAAAAACCGGTTGCTCATCCTGCCCATTCAGCGACTCATTGGATAGGACAGCTAAATAGGTGGATATGTGCAGCAAATGCCTCATCCAATCGGGATGCCATGCAGGCCAACTACTTGGGTAACACACACATTGTGTGGGTTCTTGACCTTCTAGATTTTGTGGGAGGAACTCCTAATCATGATCTCACATGAATTACTTAGAAAGTCCGTTGCAATCGGACATTTGTAATCAAACCGCTGCCGAAACCTCATGGCTGCGTTTCGAAACTCTTCTGCAGCCACATGCTACTGCGCTCAGTTGGATTATAGTTCCGCATGGTTTCAAGGTTCCGCGCATTGCATGTAGGGTAGCCCTCGGAGCAGCCAACCGAGGTCGTTTCAACATCAGGTCCAGGGCTTCGTCTCAAGTATTTCTCTCGGGCTGCGTCTGAATCATGCGAGAGAGGGTGCAATGCCACCGTTGTGTTGTCGAACGCCTGCCAAAGGACAGGCGCTCAAGCAAGCATAGTGAAACAACATAACATGATTGTGGTCCTCGACGCATTGAAGGTTGCAGCCCACAAGAACAGATCTGATCCACGGACCACCTCAGGGCAACCGTGCATTGGTGGCAGGCTTCAAACCCCATCTCAGCGGGCTGCCAGTCTCGCAAGTGGAATTTGAGGCAAGAAGTTTGATCCTGGCATGAACATAATGCAAATGTAAAGACCCCGGTCTAAACATCATATACAGTAATTGTTAAAATCCATCGAATCACACGGAATGAACCCAGCTGTTGTGCCTTGTGGTGAGATTTGTCAACAGCTGCAAACTGACTGGGATGCCAGCTGTGACCTGGAACGTGTGAGCACAGGAAAAGTGATGCCTTAATTTGCCAAGTCCAGGTTCGTGACTATCCACTCCTGAAGAACGGGCAGTCTCAAGTCTCATGTCTGACTGATTGACATATGTTCTTGTCCTGTTCTGCGGCAGCCAGCGCCAAAGCTTGCACACCCTTTGGAGAAACTGTGCTTTGTCGAAACCGGCGACAAATAGACTGAGGTTGCTGCCAAACATCTGAGACTTCGCATATGTTCATCATGGGCACCAGAGATGAAGCTATCAAGCTATCAAACCAAGAGATAATATACATATCTACAAACATGTGCAAATTGACTGGTGCTTTGACATCGTGCACGGTTGTGTCTATATACTGGTAGCTATCGTTTCAACGACTACTCCAGTTGAAAGGGCTGCAAATGCACTTGAATATCTTGAACCTATTATCTAGCTGATGTGTGTATATATATATATGTGTCATCATACATAAACCCCCCCTCTCATGATTGCCATTTGGGCCGAGCATAGCGAAGGTTGCAACAAAGGTGAGCAAAACATACAGTATATAGATAAAAGTAGAACGTCATGGAAAGTCTAAGGTGAAAAGAAGCACAAGACTTCTAAGAGTAAGGTTCAAGGCCGTGCGAAGCCCACCTGAGAAGTCGCCTCCGGAACGTCCTCCAAGACATTCAGAAGCGGACATAGCAAACTGCAAACAGCTCAAAGTACACTTAGACCTCACAGGAAGAGTTGTACGTATCTGCTCTCATCAGCGCCTGGCGCAACAAGAATCAATACGGAAAAGGAGGTGACCATGGCCATAGAATCATGGAATGCGCCACAAAAGCATTCAGCGCGGCATCATGGCACAAACTAACCAACATTGTGCAACAATCATCGCTATAGCGTTGCTTTACCAGTCTTCGAATCCCATACCCGGGATGGCGCGCGTTGCCAGAGCAGTCACATCGGCCATACCTCGACCACATCGAGTTTCAACTGCCACAAGCTGCGCAACAAGGAACTCTGAGCTGAGCACATGGTGTCGCAGAAGGCCTGCCGTTTGGAAAGGCCGTTTGGACAGCGCAAACGCTCGCCCATGAGGCGTTTCCGTGATGAAAGGCCTCACCGCAGGTGGCTCCAGTGCTGGCAATGCATACCTGGAGCAAGAAGTGGCGTTCACTCCAGAAATCCAGGACGAATTCATGTATATAGAAATGCACAGGGGTGCAAGGCAGCTTGCACAAGCTTCGCTCTGTGTGACCATCTCATGACTCAAGACCTTGCCCCAGACCTGCTGACATTGAGCATCGGCAGTGCAAAGAGTCCTTGGACAAGTGAAAATATGTGAAAATGATGAAACTCCCGGTTTCTGTGTTTGAAGTGCTCCAATTTCAAATTTATGAAGTGCTTGTGTTGTACGTTACAATTTACGACTTGCTTGCGTCTCAGCATCGCAAAGCAGATGCGTGGAGTTGTGCTCAGCACCTTGGCAACTATGAAGCAAAAGCAGGTAGTAAGTACAGTATATAGGGTCAATCAAGCAGGGGGCAAGCTGTGCGTTACTGTTAACGAAAAAAGCGGGGGAGGGGGAGAGAGAGAGGGAAAAACATGAAAGGGCAAGGCAAGGTTCTATCGATGAATTCGCATACAGCGAGTGCTGCCAGTCTAAGCAAGCTACCAGTGCCGACCACTTCAGCGCCTTAACAAGAATTGCCGTCACGTGGACCCAAGCACTGGCACAGTCCAAGGTCACCACCCTCGAACGCCACCAAGACGCCATGGCGATTGAGCTGTAAAGAAATGCACAGCAAGAAACGTGGGAAGTTTCAAATGACCCCCTGTATCCCCCTGTAGTTTATCAAACTCAACATATTCCAAATCATAATATTGTGATTCAGTTCTTGAAGCACTTCCAAGAGACAGAACGATCCAGGCACAATGAAGAACTCAAGCTCTACAAGAACTCTTACATATGCATACATCTGCTATTTTCGCTCAGCTCGCAATCTTTGAGGCTCGAATTATCGGAAGCCTGGTTGTCTAGGTGCCACTGGGTACGCATTCCCTGGGTACATCTGGCCAGGGGCAATGTATATGCATGGGCCTGATGGCGTTGCATACACTGGAGCGCCTGAAGCTGGCACATACACTACTGGGGGTACCATCGCCTGTTGCAACTGGGGTGCTGGTTGTCTTTGTTGGACATAGCCATGCGCCTCGGGATACTTTACAGGTTGCAAAGGCAGCATGGGACCATGGGGAGCTGAGGCCGGGAATAGCCCCACAGTGTTGTCCTCCTGCACACCACCATTCGCCAGTATGTATGGCGGTCCAGTGGCCGGCTGAGGCTTCGCAAAGCCAGACTGCGCAGGGAGCGCTGGAGGTTGCTGTTGTTGCTCTTGTGCACAGGGCTGAGGCATTCCAGTTTCAATTTGACCTGGGTCGGGAAAATGACTTGGGAGATCTGTCATGTTCTCATTCTCCTCCGATTCTGATCCTGCACCTCTACCCATCCGCAACATGCGGCCGCCTAATGCAGCTGCCTGCTTCATGGGACGTGTTGCTACGCGAGCGGCCTTGGCACCAAAATTCAAGCCTCGTGCTAGCCGATCAACCCACGATGGCATGGCTTGAACCTTTAACTTGCGAACCAATGCCCGTGCAAAAGTGCAGCAGTTGTGCCCCACGAGCTCATAGTGATCACCCATGAAGTCTTGAAAGCACTCCCTCAACAGCTCTACAAATTCCGCCTGGCTCACTTCTGAATCCCCAAGAAAAACGCTACACTTGTAGATGTGCCGCGGGTGTTTCCTTGGAATGGTCTTTTTGACGCCATGGATGCCATAGCACCATTCCCAATCAAAGATTTCCACACCGGCATGAAAAGCACCATTACCAGTGACCGCGAGCAGTTTGTTTGCTCGCATAAAAGGTCCATTGAGATTGTAGACATGGACAAGGACGGAGGATCTGGTCAAATGACGGGAGGACATGCGCCTGCGGTTTGCATCAAGCAAGTGCAGGGGCGCTGGATCTGTTTCTGGGGGCGTCGTCACCACCTCCTCAAACAACTGATCTGGAGGTAACTGAGCCAAAATGTCACTTTCATCTTCAGATTCGTCCCCATCGACTTCTACCTTGGAGCTTGGCAAGCTGCCCTGAACTTGTTCGCCAGATCGCGCCAGTGCCTCGGGCAACAGGGATGAAACAAGCAAACATTATAACATTTCACATGAGGTCCTTTTTAAACTGTGAAATTTGATGGAGATTTCGTATTAATTGTGGGTGGTCACGTTGCTTCTATTTGCTGTGAACTGCAGCTGATTAATTGGGCACCTCGTCTTTCAAACGCGGAATCAGGCAACATCAGCACCCGAGGTTTCTTGTCCAGGCAACTGACTGAACTCATTGAGTCAGAGCAGTTGCCCCAAACCGCTATAAAGATCTCTATGTAAGGCATGCCGCGCTGTTTGAAGAGGATATTCTGTGTTCGGCATTGCTCCAGTTCCCCCGCAAGAAAGGAAACACCAGGTTGCTAGTTGTCCAAATGCTCCGGAACATGTTGACTCACGCGCACAGTTCCAAGCATGAGCAGCAAGCAAGCACTCACAACAATTACAAAGCTCTCAAGCACCCACCCCCCGCATTCAAAAGCCCCTTGGGATCCTTGTGGGATTGGATACGCTAGTGGCTCAAACATGGCAGGCGCCCATTGCAGCCTCCAAACTGAGAACCCCAATTTAACTCCCTCCAAAAGTTTAATGAGGATGTGAAGTCGCCTAGCCGCATAGCTGACCAAAGCCTTTAAACCAGGTGGGCTTTGAACCTGCTTACCCAAACATGGATCATGCACAAGGTTCAAGGTTCATTCACCCACTGTGGCAAATGCGGCAAATGGAGATCGAACGATTTCTTGTGGTTGGCAAAGCTGGAATAGAGCAGAAAACAACTTGACACTAACTTGGCAAAACGCTTTTTCTGACTTGATGTGGTCAAATAACTCTAGGACACCACCTGCAGGTGGTAAGTGTTGGCTAGGCCGTTGAGATTTATGTACTGTAATGTCAATATTTGAGTAATAGTAAGGTCAGGTAATGCATGGTAAAGCATCTCTGTTCTATTACTTTTGTATATTAAATAATGTGATAGTTAATGTCAACTATCTAAAAGGATATAGAAGGTATATTGCAATCTTTGCAAGCAAGTCATGAATCACGAATGTGAGTTCAAACATGTTCAAACTATATAACCACACCGAGGTAGGCTTCTGCATCTCTGCAATCCCAGTCTGAGCAAGATACCAGTGCCGACCACTTCAGTGCCTTAACAAGAATTGCCGTCACGTAGACCCGTGCACTGGCAAAATAGTCTAAGGTCACCACCCTCGAAGGCCACCAAAAGGCCATGGCGATTGAGCTGTAAAGAGTTGCACAGCAAGAAACGTGGGCAGTTTCAGATGATGACCCCCTGTAGTGTATCAATTTATCAAACTCAACATATTCCAAGTCACAATATTGTGATTCAGTTGTTGAAGTACTTCCAGGAGACAGAACGATCCAAGCACAATGAAGAACTCAAGCTCTACAAGAAATCTTATATCTGCATACATCTGCTATTTTCGCTCAGCTCGCAATCTTTGAGGCTCGAATTATCGGAAGCCTGGTTGAGGTGCCGCTGTGTGCGCATTCCCTGGGTACATCTGGCCAGGGGCAATGTATATGTATGGGCCTGATGGCATTGCATACACTGGAGCCGGAGCCCCTGAAGCTGGCAATTGCACAGCTTGGGGCACCATTACTTGTTGCACCTGCGGCGCGGGTTGTCTGGGTTGGACATAGCCATGCACCTCAGGATGCTTTTGTTGCAAAGGCAGCGTGGGACCATGAGGAGCTGAGGCCGGGAACGGTCCCGCAGTGTTGTCCCGCACGCCACCATTTGCCGGTACGTGTGGTGGTCCAGTAGCCAGCTGAGGCTTCGCAATGGCAAAGCCAGGCTGTTGTTGCTGTTGTGCACAGGGCTGAGGCATTGCGGTTGCAATTTGACCCGGAATGCCGTCCTGGAGAACGGGGGATGGGAGGTCTGTCAAATCCTCATCATCATCCGATTCTGATCCTGCACCTCTACCCATCCGCAACATGCGGCCGCCTAATGCAGCTGCCTGCTTCATGGGACGTGTTGCTACGCGAGCGGCCTTGGCACCAAAATTCAAGCCTCGTGCTAGCCGGTCAACCCACGATGGCATGGCTCGAACCTGTAACTTGCGAACCAATGCCCGTGCAAAAGTGCAGCAGTTGTGCCCCACGAGCTCATAGTGTTCACCCATGAAGTCTTGAAAGCACTCTCTCAACAGCTCTACAAATTCCGCCTGGCCCACTTCTGAATCCCCAAGAAAAACGCTACACTTGTAGATGTGCCGCGTCTGGTTCCTTGGAATAGTCTTTCTGACACCAAAGATGCCATAAGACCACTCCCAATCAAAGATTTCCACACCGGCATGAAAAGCGCCACTACCGGCCACTGCTAACACTCTGTTTGCTTGCATAAAGGTTTCATTGAGATTGTAGACATGAACCAGAACGGAGGATCTGGTCAAATGACGAGGAGACATGCACCGGCGGCTTGCATCAAGCAAATGCAGGGGCGCTGGATCTATTTTGGGAGGAGGCACCCTCACCTCCTTCAAAAGCTGGTCTAAAGGCAGCTTTGACAAAATATCTCTTTCATCTTCAAATTCGTCCCAATCCACTTCTACCTTGGTGGAGCTTGGCACGCTCCCCCGAACTTGTTCACCAGATCTTGCCACAGCCTGGGACGGCATTGATGCCAATGCGCTCAGCATTGGTTCTGAATATTCCCCAAACTCCTTTGGAGATCTGGAGGGGAATCACATGTTGCCGGCCGGCTTTGAACACGAAAAGGGCGGTGAGAAACGCATCAGCACAAAGGTGGCTGTTGCAACAGAACAGGCGATCCTCTACTTGAGAATGCTTGACGAAGCTTCGGCTGTATTTTGCTGCGCATTTGCGAATGCTATGATGGGCAGGCCAGTCATTTAGTCATGCCGAAAAAGTCCACAGGCCTTGACAGTGCAAAGCACCTTTCCGCGTTTCAAGTTTCATGCCTGGACTATTAACACATGGGTTTGCAAGATTGCCTTCTGAGCGTGTGACGCTTGAATTCAACAAGCCAAGGTCAATGCTTGAGAACGCCAGTGACTGTCCATTCTTTCCATCACATGTCCAAGATGTCTCTCATCACGCATCATTTTCACAAACTACTGGCCGCTTCTACGCCACTGCTTGAAATACATGGAGGGCTTCCTGCCAAATGCTGACTGCATTCTACAGCGTTTCAGTGTGACAATCCCACTAATGTCGTCTTCGGATAAAACAATTGAATATATAACCTCTCCAAAAGGCCTACAAGCCTTTGGGACTGAAACACATCTGGGAACGATCATGGACTTATCTGGGAATCTGGGTGGCCTAACAAGACCCATCTCTATAAAAAGCCTCTTCATTCCAAAACATCAGCAAACCAATGGGACAAAAAGAGGTTGGGAAACTCCAAGCGTGGAAGATGGTCCAGAGTTATTTTGTCGTGTCAAGAACGATTGGAGCAAACTAATAGTGGACTACTTGAACCGATGATGAAATTGGTGGTTACCAGCATGAACAGTCTTGACTTGTTGCCAAGGCGTTTATACATGTTCTCCTCCAAAAGCTCTGATGGGCTTGTACATCAGAAGCCTGACGTAAAAACAATAGTCACAACATGCCGGCAGCGCATTTCCTTCTGAGGCCCTGGCTGAGAAGCGGCGTAAGTGCCACGTCCTTCCCGGGAGTGCCACGTCCTGGCGCTCCTGTGGAACGACGGTGAGGCACTATAGCACCCAGTCAAAACGCATATCGCTTTATTCTAGATTCGTCATCAAGCGTTAAATAACAGTCATGACATGTCATGACTCTGAAATAACATGTTTCAACATGCTATGTCTATTATAATCTTTGCAAGGTATTGATCAATTCAGAAATACTTAAGGCGGCTCATGACTAAAGTTCATGTACGGTAGTTTTGTCAGATTTCATCTGTGACAAATACAATCAGTTGTAATACACTTACTAATTACAGTATCTAGTTCAACAAGCTCCGTCGATCTCCAACATTCCGCCTTCTGCGATTTGTACGCATCAAGGGCCAAAAGGAGTAGTTGGGCTTCACGAAGGGACATCTGCAGCCGTCCCTTTGCCTGTGAATGAAAAAGGAACTCAATCACCAAAAGTGAGATCAGAAACAGAAGGAAATCAATGAAGGATAAAGAAGGTACGAGAATCCCAAAAAATGAGACGAGAACAGTTTGGGGGCTTTTGATGGCATTTGGCACCTCCAGGCTCTCGGGCCATGTGTTCTGGTACCTGTGAATGGCATTCACGACAGCATCCCGTTCAATAGGATCGTCGATCAAGAGCCATCTGGCACCCAAGCTAAAGTGGCCTTGGGCAGCCACCTGTGAGCGGGAGCGGAGTGAATCAGCAATGGCCTCCAACCTAATAGCGATGGCCTGCAACCTACTAGCGATGCCCAAAATTGAGGATACATTGCAACGCAAGTTGGAAACTCTGAGTCGTTCTATGGCGCTTGCTCCCCAAGACAAGCTGCAATCCCTATAATGTCCCTGCGATTTCAATTAACTTTTGTGTCCATAATCCGCACAATATTACGACTATATAATATGTTTACATGCATAACATGCATGGCATAATACGCGTCGTTAGCATATCTTAATGCACATAATATACACATAATATACAATCATGGCACTTATCACGGCCACTGTTTAGAGTCCAAGGGAATGGCTAGACCCCGCTGCCAATGTGATCGCAAGAGTCGCACACGTGGTCACGCGTGGTTTTGTTGCGGTCCAAAGGGCCTTGGTTTTGTAGCTCGCCAATGCTTCTGAAACTGCCTTTCCTTCGGAATCTAGTTTGCCAGCATCCAATGCATCGAGCAAGCTGCGAAGAGAAGGCCTCAGAACGAGAATGCCTCTTCTCATTCTTCTCAGGTCACAGTCCTCTACTCTTTTCATCACTTCGCAAGTATCTAAGCTCCCTGCGCGTCCGTCACGTGTTCAATTTGCTGCTCGGTTTGAGCAGGTTCAGGCTGTTCAGGTTGAATTTCCGAAGCCGAGTTTGATGTCCACAGAAGCCGGGCCACGAAGCTTGGCCTGATGCGGGTGACCACCAGCTTGGTTCCAAACTCGTCATACATGTGGCCTTAGATTAATGAAGGGACTGGAGAGGAAATGAGATAGGATGGAAAATGCAAGCAAGGGCAAGGGACAAGAAATCCAGCCCCATTGTGGTCACATGGTCACATGGGAAATTTTTGTAATTGCCTTGCTTGTTTACACCTATACTGCCTCCATGTTGCAGCTTGGCTCGGTGGCGTAGCAAGCATCAAAAAGTAGATCGCAGTACCTTGTGCGGCATCTGTGGAAGAAACGTGTAGTAATTGTTTAACACCAATCTATATATATATAAACCTGAGAAAGGAGAGGACGAAAGCCAGCGAGAGACCAATATGGTAGTGCAAGACTGGGAGGAAAAAATAGCGGAGCACTTATTGTTGAATGCCTGTAGCTTTCGTGGAGCTTGTATCAACGTGGAGTAGATCAAGATCGGGGCACAGCATGAAGTTTTAAGTTTTTTAGGTTTTCTTGACGTTCCTGGCGCGGTGCTCTCTGGAGCGTCCCTGTTTGGTGGTCTATTTGAGAATCCGTGTAGAAATAAACGTCCGTGAAGACCAGGAGAAGGATGCCCGAAAGGTAGTTTTTTGGTTGTTTTCAAAAGTGTTTCGGGCATCGTGCATCAATGCAAAGCCCGGAGCCCCATAAAGAGCAGGGCTGGGAGAAAACATAGAGGAGAGCAATCACTGCGACGTAGATGAAGATCGGAGCACAGCACGAAGTGTTGAATGTTTTTAGTATTGATTTGCTTGGTGCGGCGCCTTCTGGAACGTCCCTTGTTGGTGTTCTATTTGAGAATCCGTGCAAAAAAAACGTCAGTTAACACCAGGAGAATGATGCCCGAAGTGGTTTTTCTGGTTGTGTTGAAATGTGCTTCGGGCATCGTGCATCAAAGCGAAGCCCTATAGAGAGCAGGGCTGGGAGGAAAAAATAGCAGAGCGCCTATAATCGCCTATAGTTGAAAGCTTGTAGTTTCTTGTGGCTGGTATCACTGCGACTGAGATCAAGATTGGAGCACAGCATGAAGTGTTGAACGCTTGCAGCTTCCTTGCGTCTCCTCTTGCGGCGCTCTTATCCCCAAGCCTCTACCTCGCCCAACTGGACATACTCACATCGTTCGCTCCCAGAGCGTTCACTCTTTGTTGCTAGGTCCTTCTTGGTATGATCAGAGCTACACAGTCCCTATGCCCTGCTCAGGACTAGAAGAATTGTCTCCAGATCCCTTCATGATGCTAATGATGCACTAATGTTGACTTCCTATTTGTAAATGGCCCGTGAATAGTACTAAATCTTTTCCAAAAAAATATTAAATGGCCCTCAAATAGTACTAAATGTTTTCTGGACCTTGATTTTCAGCTGCTTCCAGACCTTGATTCATCCAAGCTGATTCTGAGCTTTCAGCTGATTCCAAAACCTGATTATGTTGTGGTTTCCTTTACTCTGGAATTTTGATTTGGCTGCTGCATGTTTCTTTTAAAATTGCTTATTTGGGCATTGCAATTTGCAACCTGAAATCAACCCACAAAGACCACCCCCCACAAGCAGCCCAAACCTTCAATTACTCAAGACCTCAAATAGTACTAAACACTTTTTGGCTGGTTCTTTTGGTGGTTTCCTTTACAAGTCCTTTAGGTTTCCTTTCCTTTCATTGTCCTTTCAATTTCCTTTCCTTTCATGTCTTTTCCTTTCCTTTCATTGTCCTTTCAATTTCCTTTCATTGTCTTTTCAATTTCCTTTCCTTTCCTTTCATTGTCCTTTCAATGCCTTTTCCTTTCCTTTTATTTCTTTTCCTTTCCTTTAATCTCCTTTCCTTTCATTTCATTTCCAACTCAAGTCAATATTTTCTAGGGCATTTCTGGAAATCACATTATTTGGGGCCCACACTTGATCAAGGGAGAGGGGGTTTATTAATAAGAGGCACACATTACTCGGCGTCCATTGCATCACTCGCATCACCAAACCCCATTTTCACTGCTTTTCTGACCCTCGCTTTGGAGCACTCTCCCCCACCAAGCTCCGGGTTCACCCTCTCAAAATGTGCCTTTTCGCGCCCCCCCCCCCCCCCACACCCCCTTAACTCACTTCGTTCGCTCTAAGAGCTCAAGCCTAGCCTATCGGCTGGCTTTCGTAATATAATGCAAAATGCTGTCAAGCTCATCTATATATATATATATTGTCTCAGGACAACGACACTGAGGCACTCAGACATTGAATGGTCTCCAAACCCCCGTGGCGCCAAAGAGAAGTCTCGTTGCCAATGAATGTGCTCTTTATCCTGGCTGCATTTCGCACTTTAAAAAACGATCAGTAAACGCGTCTTGATACTCAAGTTGTCTGAAGTCTCCTCACGGGTGAGCAAGCGAATTGTGGAGAGGTGTTTGAAGCCCTGTGAGGAGCCAACGAGATGATCTGTGTCTTGTCGAGCCAGCAAGGCACTGGTTGCCGCATGAATCACTTTGGCAGCAATTCGTCCACTGACCATATTCCTCTCCTTGTCACAACAAGTATCGCGTCAAAGTTGCCAGCAGAATGATTCTCCAATCGTATATACCGTACATATACCAGTTTCGTTTGACTCATATCTACCGGTCCTTGGCTTGCTCTTTCATGTACTCGGCCGCTTCACGAATGACATCTCGAGGGCTTACTGCAGACCAGGCCCGGGGGCATGGGTCGCCTTCCGTGCCAAACTCCGGGGCGGACCACGTGTCACGAAGAGCTGTAATTACTGGACCTGGATTAATCATCCAATCTTGCCCCCCGCAAAAATGAGCAGGTGCTGGGCGATCACGTTGCTTCAGCCACAAAGAGAAGTTTGATCTACCATCTAATCCTTGCCGCCCAAAGAGCCCTCTCAACATGACGAACCTGGTGACCAAATTCCTCTCCCTAGCAAACGCCGCATCCGATCCCATGAGCTTAGTGGTTTTGCTTCACCAGCACTTGGCATTTGCAGCCTCCGCTTTTCACGCCCTCAGGCCTGCGTTGATGAAATTCACGCATCGCTCCCGGGCAAATTCCTCAAACCTGGCAAACTTCCTCGGCTTGTCGATGGTGCACTGAATGAATTGAAGCTTGTCTCTTTAAACTTTAAACATCGGATCTTTTTAGCCTCAACGTGGCATTCATCAAGGCTCTCATCACGATCTTCAGAGTCAGCACCAAAGCACATTGGCGATCCAAATGTGACGCAGCGGATTGTTCGCAGCAGCTTTCGGGCATCCCCACGCAAACGGCAGCGGTCCTTGCTAGGTCTGCGTTCCGATATGTGCTAGTTCCATGAACAGGCTCCACAAAGGCCTCTGCAGGCCAATCGAACATGCGATTCTTATCTCCTGAATCTCAGTCTCCTTCCCTCCCTCCATCTCTAATTACATTGTGATTCAACTGGGAAGTGCTGCAGAAAGCACCAACTCATTGTTTCAACCTGGAGGTTGATACACAAAATGTGTCGAAGTACAGCCGATTGGCCGCCAGCCATCTGCTTGATTGAGGACCCCGAACCCCAAGCTTCTACCAAAACGAGCTGAGAAGGAATTATATAAGGCCAATGTTCTGGTGGGGTACCTTCAGGACCGCTTAAATTACATATGACATTAAGTAACTTATCCTGTTGCGATCTATTGCGCATCTACTTATTTTCTAGCTATCACGCACTTCCTAATTTCTCACTCAACAAATGCGTAACGTCAATTGTTTTTAGTATGCCGTAAGTAGAAATAAGTAGAGCCAAGTAGCTCATGTTTCAGAACCTTGATTTTGGCATTTTTCCTTTTGCCGCTCCAAACTTTTGAAGGAAAACAATGTTTGGTGTATGTTGCCTGCAAAAACCATGCTTTTGCATGGACACCATTGTGCATTAGATAGCATTCCCGCCGACATTTGTGAAGTCACAGCACCAAGTTGGCACCAAGCCTAGTCAAAAATCATTCCGTTGGCCGGATCTGTATACAAAAAAAATATATATATATATTAGACCAAACGTTGGCCTCTTTATCTGTTGGAAAATCCGTATACACCAAGTAGCCGGGAACAAAATGGGAACAGTGCATGTAACAGACCCTATGCTATCCTGTTGCAAACACCAACTCCACGTAACAGATCTGAAAGGACAGCTGCAAACAAACATAACAAAACATAACATAGACATAGCAATGCCGTAATACCTGTAAAGTGTCATATCGAGTGAGTCCGTCCGAGCCGGTTGTCACACAAAGCGAGAAAAAGTCACAACAGACCAAACCAGTGATCGCTGCACAGAACACTTGTTTTCACTCTTCACTTCAACGTTCCTTGCTTACCTCTGCCGCTCAAAGGCTTAACCAGTGAGGTGGGGCCGGAGCAAGATGTGACTCACTCACCACTACCGCCACTATGCCACTACGATATAAGTCATGTTTTGGTTTGGCTCAACTCACAACTAGGGCAACAAAAGAACTGAAGTGATTCCAGTCAGAGTGGTTGGGGGAGTGTATACATTCACATACACAAAACTTGTAAATATATTTATGTGACAGTGTGTGTATATGTATATATATAACTATATATAAAAGTTAATTTTTTCAAGGTACAATTTTACAACCCCCTTCCTACCTACACAGTGCAGTAGTGAATGAGTCATCTCATCCACCTAAGTCTGTCTCCAGTCTAGCCCCTCACTGAATGAGTCAAAATTCAAAATCAAAATGGCGCCACTCACTTCTTGGGCTTCTTCTTTGGTGCACTGTCCTTCGCTGCCTTGGCCCGTTTCTTGGGCTCCGCCGCTGGCATGGATTCATCCTTATTCTCCTTGTCCTTCTTGACTTTGTTGTCAGCCAGAGCGTCGGCCACGAGCTTCCGGAGTTTGCTTGGCAGGTCCTCCTTGCTCAAGCCAAACTCATCACCGACAAACTTCAGCACGTGCTGGACCGACTTCCGCGTCGGAGGATCATCACACAAGAACTCTGCAGCGACAACACGGGTAGTACAAGCCTTCTTCACATCTTTCATGAGAGATGCAGCCTCTTTGGCAAACTTGCCGCAGCATTCAATGCAAGACTTGAGCATCTCATTTCCACTGGAGTGTCCAATCACCCCTCCCATGCTTTCGCAAAAGCTTTGCATTTGGTCCAAGTTGCTCTTGATCCCGCCAAGCTCTGCCTTCATACTCTCCTCATTGTCCCGGTCGAAGAAGCTGGAGACTTGCTGCATTTGCCAAGTTTCTGCACAATCGATGACATGGCCATAGGTCTTCCAGAACTTGGTGAGCTCGGAAGACAGCCCCTCCCCAACCTCCTTGAGTGGCATCTCACATGCCTGGATGTATGCCTCCACGTAGGCAGCACAAGGCTCTTTGAAATGCTTCATGAACTCTTCACCGAGCAATCCGATCTCAAGACTGCTGGAGATGGTTTCAAAGAAGCTTAGCTTTCGAGCCAAGAAGTCCCACTCGTGCTCTGCAGTCTCCAAGGCCTTGCGTTCCTCTTGCAAAGTCGAACATGCGTGAATGCCACGAGCAGATGGGTGGAAGCTGGGTGGCAAGCACTTCACAAAATCATCCAAGGTCCACTTCGAAGATGGCTCTGAAGCCACAGCCATGATTACCTGGCTTGCAACCAATCTCTGGAGTCGTGTGAGCATGGAACGTAGGGCTTTGTATGCCACGCCAGCTGGGGTGCTAGCCTGTGCCTTGCTTGATGGGTTGAGGACTTTGCTCAAACGCAAGCAGTAGCGGTTCACCTCAGTAGAGATCTTTGGCACTGTCAATGCACCAACCTTCTCAGGTTGGAACTCGCCAAGGGCCTGTGCGGGAAACTTGAAGCACAGGGCAAACTCTGCCAAGCCATCTCCAATGTGACCGCCACCATTCTCAGAGACATCACGCATGATGCTGAGGACCCAACCTTGGAATCAATCAGTTCGAAACATATTCAGTCAGTCCAGTCTGGGAACTGCAATAGTCAATAGTATGAAGTATGAAGTATGCAGTACGTAACGGTATGTGTGAATTAGTATGACAAGTTAAATGAATGAATGAGTGAATCTGAACGAATGAATGAATGCATGAATGAATGAATGAATTAATCTGAAGGAATAACGAAACAAAACTGACGTGAAATGACGTGATTTTGAAAGAATGATTCGATTCATCATCAACAACATAAAAATGAATATTGAATATTGAAATAATCAAATAATCGCCGAATCAATAATGCATCCATCAATCAATGAATAATGAATGAATGCATGAATGAAAGAATCAATGAATGAATGAATGAATGAATGAATTAATGAAGGGACTGAACTGGTTCTGAAATTGCATACATAGACTGACTATATAGACTTGAAATTGGAACAATGGCCCGATGGGCAATGATATGAACGAGGCGATTTGAGACTGAAGTTGCCTGAAATCTGAAAATGTAATATCTGGAATGGAAACCAGTAACAAGTTAGTCAAGAATCAATCCGAATGAAATGAATTCTGAATACATATTTTATATGAAATATAGATGATATATATATATAGATGTATTTAATATCTATTATCTATATATAATGTTATATGTGATGTGTGTATCATCGGAATGACCACAAACAAATAAATCAAAGCAGAAGCACAAAGCAAAAACAGTTAGTGAGTCAAACTCAAAACCTTTGACTCACCAAAGAACAGTGGAGCACGAAGGCATTGTTCACGAAGTCCGGGGGCGTGGGCATCTCAGATGGGCAAACCGCTGCCATTTGCTGGAAATGTCCCTTCTCCAGTGCGTCGGCAGCGCTTGACGTCACATCATTTGCCCACTTCTGAAGTGTCTCAAGCTTGTTGTCGAACTCTTCGCACAAAGAAGAATCCAACCATTTGAAAAGGTCATCCTTGGCATCAATGAGCGATTTGAGGGCGGCCTCAGATCCTTCCACACCACCGGCACATGCCTTGAGCTGCTTGATGGTTTCATTGACATTGCTCAATTTCATCACCAGGGCCTTGTGCTCCTGCATGGTGTCCCAAGATGAATCGAGCAACGTGTCGACATCCAAGCTCTTCAAGGTGACAATGAACTCTGCTGCTGACGTTGCAACCTTCACAGTCAAGGCTGTAGCTGCTACTTCGCGATAAGAAGAAAGCACCTTGTGCCACAAACTCCTGAAGGCGAAAGAGGTCAGGGGGCGTGGGAAGTAGTTGAAAAGTCACCAACACTGAGACTCACTGTCACTGACACCACTGAGAAGCCTAGAATTGAAGCTGAAGAGGACCGTTGGCTTGCAATCCTTTGCCTAGTCCAAGCCCGAAAGCCCGGCCTACCCCAGCACGACCACTCCCAGACCACAGCGTCCTCCAAGAGGCGTGGGAAGACATCGTCAAAGTGATCTTGCTTGAGAAGGTCACGCGCCTCATGTTCGCAACTGCACACAAGTAGGTGGTGTCCTTGTTTGGGGAGTCCACCATGAGGCACGCGAAGATCCTCTGCAAATCTGCCATGATGACGCTGCAGAACCCACTCTCATTGGCATAGTCACCAACGGGCTGGGCACCTTCATCGCCAGGCGATGGCAACCTCAGGCCCATAGCCCATAGCCATCAAAATACAGAAAAGCAGTGTAAAGGCTTGGAACCACATGACAAGACTCCATGAAGAACAACAAGTGAGTTTGACACCTTCAGACTTCAGATTATCAGAGCGTGCTTGCCACATGCAGCATCAAATGGTCAATGTTTAGATCATCAGCAAAATGAATCAACAAAAACAATAGTACAACAAATATAGGATTCGATATCCAGGATATCGTATTTAATTAATCATATAAAACGACTCACAATAAATCCGTATTAGTCATAGTCATAGTGTTATAATTAAGGTGGGTGATGGCAGCTAAGAAACCACTTCAGCTCCTCTGCAAACTGTGTAGTGCGCAAAACTTCGGGAAGCTTCGGCCTGACCCAATCCACAGGCTGTTGTTGTGCCTTGAGCTTGTCATAGAAGGCGTCCATGGCACTCTGCTGTCCCTTTCGCAAAGTAAGGTGGTAGACAGCTGTCCGTTCATCTGCCTGGGGAACGTTGTGCAACTCCGCCAAGTTCACTGCAATTTTCTTGGGGTCGTTGAGCTGCAAGAACTTGAAGAACAGGAAGTTGGGAGCCTGTAGGCATGTTAAGCTGTCAGCCCATGACCCTGACTTAGTTTTCCCCAGGGTCGGGATGCTGCTTAGTGAGTTGTGGCTATGGGGCCAGGAAGTCATAAGTTCATAAGTTCATGAGGGATCAA